CCCCCCCCCCCCCCCCGTTCTGTCGCCATTAAAGCCACCGCCGGAGAAATCCCTTCTACTTCGCGCGCGTTACGGGAGACCGCGCTTCACGATCTCCATTAACAGAAAATGCCGATTTACTCTCCCCTCCGCGGCCGCCTCTTCATGAGAGACCCCGCACGTGTGCTCGTCGATCTCGCCGTTGAGACTGTCCTAAGTAGGAAATCACCGTCGTCGAGGTACTGCGCTCAGTACCGATTTTTAGTGAATAACACTAGATGCCGGTATCGATTCGGTGGAGGATTCGGGGTGGTACAGCGATATAGCGCCATAGCAATGGGACTCGAAAGACAGTACTGTAACCGACATGCCGACTCCCAGTATTGCTAAACTATTGAAAATTATCGATTCCCGCCCGCATGGAAATTTTCCCCGGGTTTTTTCGCGTATAGCATAGATTCCGGATTGGAGTAGCCGAAGTTGTTCTAAAAGGTTGCCACGACGAATTGGGGATCCTATTCTTATCCCAAACACCGGACGAAGCCTCTTTTCCGCGATGCTTATTAGCAACTGTCATCGCCAGAGTCGAATGATGGCTCGACCGAATATATCGGATTAGGAGGGTTAATCAATTGGGTTTGATTTTTAATGTTTATGTATGTTTGAAACATCACACTTCTGAGCAGAAGCCATGCTAATTTCCCGACTAGAATCCACCGTTATTTCGGAGGAAAAATCAGACAGAAACTCCAATTAGATCCCACGAAATGTTTTATGCCGGCAATGCCGGGGCTGTACCAATTCCCGATAATGATTATTGTACAATTGTTAATACCGCAACTGTATTGCGGAAGAAAGGATGACATTTATGGAGGCTACAAGGGATGCTTGTTTGTGCCTGCGGATGTAAAACTTTTACCTTCGAGGTGAAAAACACCTGAATAAGGCAGGACTCGGTTGAGGTCGGATCTTCCGCGTACCAGACAAGCGCTCTTGCCGCTCCAGGTTCCACGTTAGTGAGACACCTCCCGCTTTCCTATTTAAGGCGTTGGTATCACATGAAATCCATATTTCACTACCGAACCGGTCTCCAGGTACTGGCCGAGTGTGTACGATCCCTAAATGGGTACGAGCGCGCGCGAAGAAATTCCCGAGCGACCCGTCGTGTTTCTCGAATGATTTTCCCACATACAGCGGCTCTCTCACCGTCGGGAAACGTGATTACAGCCGCGGATTAGCTGGATATTTTCACGTGGCGGGCCGTGTTCGATCAAGTCTCTCGCGCCATCCTGCGCAGACGGGATTATATATATAGTATATAAGCCCAATGTCATCCAACTGTGGAGTTTTCCTCGTCGGGACGAGGATAAGAGTGGCCCGTCTTTCCTTCCATCCTTCCTTTCGTTCTTCCTTCCTTCCTTCCTTCCGTCCAGCCTTCCTTCCTTCCTTCCTTCCGACGACGCCCGCCCGGCTCGCCGACGGAGCGCTTTTATTATTTCGCTTTGTGCCCGCGCGCCGGGTTATAGCAAATGATTTATCTACCGGCGGCAACGGCGTCGCTGCCTCATCGGAACTTGGCGTAATCTCGTTCGACGGCCGCCGCCGGATCGAATAAGTTTCAGTATCGCGAACCTACGAACCTACCTACCGCTTCCATTTGTATCCATCAGCCAAGAAGTTGTGCGTCGGACGTGGCGCTCGTCGCGAGAACCAGCGACCTGCGGATATAATGCGCCGGGAAAGGCCAGGAGGGCACGGGAGAGAGAGAGAGAGAGGGGGGGAAACGTTATTTCGCCGACTAATTTCCGAAAGTCCGACCTCCCTCACGGTGGCCAGCCGAGCTTGTTTCGATTGTTGAGTACAATGGCGACGAACAATGACGCCTCGAGAGCCAACGGTTACGTCAGGTTAAAACCATACTAAAAGCGACGGTTGTCGGAAATAGCGTCCGGTAGAAAAAAATCCTGAAAATCTGCCGGACGAAAAGTTCCAAGTGTGAATATGAACGGTCGACCGGGCTAAGCGCCGTTTTAACTGAGGGATATGGTAATTTTCGGCTCTTAAGAAGCAAACTCGTCTATGAGAAGCGGAAATTCGGTTTCCTTCAACCAAAAACGCGCTTGGTTCGTTCATTTCTTCACGTTATGGAGAAGCTACGTCACGAAAGATTTGCATGTTAAACCGATTCGCCGATCCGAAGACGCATATTTAATTTCCGCAACGTCGAATCGACCGGGAAGGACTCCGAAGCCTCGTAAGAAAATAAAAACGCCACGTTTGTTTTCCTTCAATCATTCATGATCGGCTCGGAGATCTCGGAGATCGCGCGTGTCATCGCGAATTTACGGGCCCGTAAAACGCGTCTTTAATCTGCGCCCTTTAATCGTTAGCATAAAGACTTTTTATTCCCCGTCTTTAGTATCTTCGGTATCTGTCTGTTTGGGTATCTCGTGCGCGCGATGGAGGGCAGGTGGATCATCGTCGACCCGGGGCTCTGTACTCGCGCCTTTCCCTTCTGAAGACCTACATATCTAGATCGTGAAAGAGTCGACCGAGTGTTGACACGCAGATAACATGCATCGCGTGTAGGTAAAGTAAGACGGCCTGAATGACGTGCGTACACCGGGATGAACGTACGTCGCTCCCTCGAAGCTTTTCCGAGAGTCGACTACCGCTCCGGGGAAATGTTTGGGAAATCAGAGCGCACGGGAGAAAAGTGTGGCGCACGTATGAGCGTAACACGTAGAAAAATGCGAGTGGTGAGACTTGAGCAGTAGGAAAATTGACTAATCACGGTCGATTGTTTTCCCTTGCACAGCGGAAGAATGCTCGGCTGTGCTTTGTCAATTTCCTTACTGTTTAAATCTTTTTTTACCGCTTTTTTTTTATGCGTTATCCCAAGTAGGAGGGAACTTTCGAAGTACCGGCTCGGTGCAGATTTTTTAATGAACAGTAGCAGATGTCGGTATTGATTTGATACGGGCGGGGTATTTGGGCGATGATGGGCCGAAACTCGAAAGATAGTACTGTAACTGCGTCCAGTATCGCAAAAATATCGAAAATTATCGGCTCCCGATACTAGGACAGTATTAGCGCTGTTACATTTTCTTCTTGTTGCGGTGACCAGGCAACGCTGGACATTACCGATTCCCAGTAATGATTATTGTTACTGCACGATTGATAATACTACAATCATATTACCGAGGAAAGGGTCAGAATATGGCCCATGATATTTGTTTGTATCTTTAGATGTTCACTTTTAATGTCATATGAGATTAAAAAACACGCGAGTGAGGCAAACTCGACTAGAATCGAACTCGGATCTTCCGCCAGGCAATTGTTTTTGCTATTGAACTATTTAGCTGCCACATTGCTGACATTTCTCGCTTTCTTATTTAAAACATCGATATCGTAATGTAAAATGCATATTTCAATATCTGAATCAATGCTGTATCTCGTCAGTCTTCAGTATTGACCGAACGTATACGATCTCTACACGGGGAATAGTATCTAAAGTCATAGACCTATATATTGGCGCGTTATTTATTTATTTATTTTATTCTATTTCTATAAAACTTTCCTCTACAATTTATTTTATTTTATCTTTGAAAAATTCACCGAGGAAATTGGTTATCGGAGTCTTCCCCTCTCTCTCTCTCTTTCTCTCTTTATCTCTCTCTCTCTCTCTTTCTCTCTTTATCTCTCTCTCTCTCTCTCTCTCTCTCTCTCAATTGTGCGATATCGTTATTACTAACATTAAATTCGACATGCAAGTCGCAGTTTGTAGCTCCCGTCATTTTTGCTCCCTTAGCTTCCGCTGCATTTTCCCGGATCGGAAGAGGAGGGGGTAGGAGGGCGGGTGAAAATCGTTATCGTTATCAGGATCGATCCACACGCGCTCTGCCGACGCATTCGCCGGAGACCCATATACCCAAATCGTGGAAAGAGGGCTGTCGGTCGACGCACCCCGCTCGCATTACGCAGCTCTGTGTGTACGGATAAACTGCGGGAAATAGGTAGAGAGAGAGAGAGAGAGAGAAGGAAGGACTTGCGGATGATACGAGGCGGGCGATGAATGCGTATGACGCTTCGCTGCATTTTCGGAAGGATAGTTAACAGTCCTGTTTTATCCTCTCTGCGGATTACTCTCTCCCTCTCCCCCCTCCCCCCCTCCCGCCCACACATTTCCATCTCTCCGAAAGAATGCGCAGGGCAATGCGAAAATATCAATGAGTGCTCTCCTTTGCCCCCTCGGTTAACGAATTCCGTTAGCAAAGAGAGACATTAACCGTCTAACGAATTTATCCTCGCGAGTCTATCGGGGGAAAAACGCTTTCCGAATTGCGATCGCGTTTTGCCTCGCCGGCGCGGCTGAAAATGCGAAATGTTGCGCGACGGGAAATACGGCGAATGCCGTCGTCCTGGGCGCGTTTTCGCAGTCAACACCTCAGCTGCCGTTCAAGCTGGTCGGTAAAGGAGGTCTAATGGTTGGCGCATGCTGTATGCATTACGTAAACAGTGAGGGCGAGGCGAAGCTGAAGGATACACGGAGATGGGCGCAAGAAAAACAGTGGGGTATGTACGAGAAATAGAAGTGACGCCGGCACAGAGAGAGAGAGAGAGAGAGTCCTGCGAATATCAGTGAGCGTCGTCCTCGCGGAGATAAAGGCCTTATTTTGCCTCCTGCCCACTTTTTCATTTTCCCCGCGCCGCTTTTTCACGCCGTTGCATTTCCCGCGAGACACGCGGGAAATGACGCGTCTCCTCGAATTCATCGCGGTTTCGCGTGATTCTTACATTCTCCGGCTGCGCGTTCGACGCTTTGTTCGCGGAAGGGTGCTCCGTCATTTCGCCGTTATCGCTCGCCAGGACTGGCCGGGGAAACACTCGTAATCCAGCCCATGTATTATTCAATCCGGCCGTCGATTTTCTGAATTATCAATCGCCCAGGAAAGAGGATTCACGGCCGGCTACCGGTGTATCCGCGGTGTTCGCGGCTGCGAGAGGCACGCACCCTCGACCGATGCATCATCCTGGAGAAGATATAAACACAGTCTCTCCCTTCCCCGCTTCATCCTCTTTTCTCCTGTCCGTCTTCTCCATCGCTTTGCGAGAAACCGAGAGAGAGAGAGAGGGAGAGGCGAACAGTGAGTCGGCGATGCCTTCGCGGAGAGAAATGGGAACATCGTCGTCGTCGTCGTCGCTGTTGTCGGCGCGGTGGAAGCGGGCGGCGCGGGGCAGGACCGCGCCGATGTTCCTGGGGGAGCGGTAGGAGGTGGGAGCGGGAGAGGACGCGGCGGAGGAGGCGAGAGAGAGACGGGAGAAGAGCGGTAGTCGGCGCAGGCGTGCGCCTCGTCGCGGATCCCGCCGTATTCCAAAGAGGAACACGCCACTCCGCCCCCGGCACGGCAGCCACGCGTCAGTCTCTCACCCGACTGACCTCCTGTCCCGAACTTCCCTCTTCGATTCCTGACCCGCGCACATTGAACTCGCTCGCCGGTCGGAAGCACCGCGCGTTCCGCTCGCGGCTCAGTAGCTCGCTCGCTGGCAGTGACTCGCGCGGCGAGTGCGTCCTCGCTCTCGGAAGTATGCCGGCGACGAGCGGCCCGCGAACGTCGGACCTGGTGGCCGCTCGGGGAAGAAGCCGCAGGAGGACGACGGCTCGTCACCGTCTGGATTAAGAGGGGCCTTCGCCTCGGAGAGGAGTGGAAGTGAACGGAACTGTGCGTCGTTCTTCTCCAGTGAGTCCCCGGGGATGATCGCGAAGATGAGCCGGACGATCGATGACCGGGAAATGAGATCGGGGAAGACGACGGCTGACGTTCGCTTCATCGCGCTTCGGGGAATACAATAATGCTCTCGTTTCGAGGGCTGTCGGCGCTCGTCGACGCGGATACCCGTCGGAGAGGAGGGAAGTGATCGGCCTGACGCTCGCGATGACGCGCGTCGCTGTGAATCTCCTCGTCCCCTCTCTCCCCCTCACTCTCTCTTCCTCGGAGAACGCAAAACAGACGGTTCTTCGCCGGATCTCCGATCCCGCTGATCGCGTCTCGTATTGATCTCTGATGCGACATCGAGGAGAGAAGCTCTCCGTCTACGAGCCCGGCTGGTGGATAGTGTACAAGTGCGCGCCTACAACGAGGATCGACCTGGGAGTCGCGTGTCGAGGAAGTTTTCCCGGTAATCTAGTGACAGGTGGCCGAAGTAGACGAGTTGAAGCTGACGTGTCCGATCAGAGAGTCTCGTTATCACTTTAAGCAACCCGGCCACGTGTCGTCCAGACGCTCTCCTCTCGGCGAACGTCTCAAACAGCCGACCAGGAGCATCGCACGGGCGCTTCGCCGGGAAGTAGCTGCGTAACTGTAGCCGTTCGACGAAAATTCAAACATTCGTGGTCGACTCGAAGTACACTTAGGGAATTTAGCCAGCCGTTCCCGGCGGTGAGGGAACATCGCCGGTCGAAGAGGCGGAAGGGAGAAATTTGGGGGG